AATGGCCAGATTTCTTTCTTTTTTACAGATGAGTAATATTTTATTGTCATTTTCTTTATCCGTTCATCCTTCAATGGACATTTAGGTTGTTTTCATATCTTGGATGTTGTGCGTAATGATGCAATGAACATAGGGGTAGAAATATCTCTTTGAGATGCATGTACTTATTTCATTTCCTTTGGATAAATACTCAGAAGTGGAGGTGCTGGATCATATAACAGTTCTGTTTTATTTTTTGAGGAACCTCCATGTGTTTTCCATAGTCGCTGTACCAGCTTACAGTCCCACCAGCAGTACACAAGGGTTCCCTTTTATCCAACTAACTTTTTTTCCTAACTTAACCTCATCCTAAATAGTAGCTATAAAATCACAATGTGATATGTTAGTTCTATAACTTTTTAATACATATTAAAAATTCTTTTAAAAATATGTAACTATTAAGACCTGGCCAGATGGCTCAGTTGGCTGGAGCATCTTGCACACAAAAATATTGTGGGTTTGATCCCCAGTTGGGGTGAGTATGGGAGGCAAACAATCGATGCTTTTCTCTCACATCGATGTTTCTCTCCACCACCCCCCTTCTAAAACCAACAAAACATATCCTCAGGTGAGGATTTTGGAAAATGCTTATAAAAATGTGTAGCCATTAAAATTAAAAGTGTTTTACCATGTACCTGCTAAAAGTGCACACCACCTGCTCCTTGCACGGTGGGCACCTGGGTCTGTTCCAATGTCTTCCATGACTAGACAGTGAAGGTGAGGCTGGGAGAGAGTGTGGCCATTGTCACAATGCTCAGGACATGAACAATCTGTGTGGAGTTAGGATCGGGGTCTGCTCCCGCCAAGGGTCAGCCTAGAAGGTGGGGTCTCAGCTCCACCATTATAAGTTCCATCAGCCTGCACATGTGACTTAACTCTTGGAGCCTGGGTTTCCTCATCTTTGCTGTGGGATAGTGATCCTGTCTAACCCCTACGGGCTTCACGGTGTCTGATGCTTGTCCAGAACAGGCCCGGACGGCCCTTTCCCTGACCTTTTCTCTCTGCATACCTGGTATGAAGGGCATGGCAGTGAATCAGCTGGCAGGGGAACCCCACAGGGGAGCCTGCTCCCCTTTCTTCTTCATGTCTCATCATCAGCCACTTCCACCCTGCCTTTTGCCAGTACCAGGCCAGTGCCCCTGTGGGACCAGCCTGACATGACCCAGGTCAGGTAGCCTGCCAGATGCCCTGGCACCCTCCCCATCTGTCTGGCCAGCCAGACATGGGTTGTCCAGCCTCATGGCCTGGAGCCGTGGGCCAGTGTCCTGACTGACCTGGTCACCTCAGCCCTGAAACCATTTCTCCCAAAGTGAGAAAAGAGGCTCCTGCATTTTTTTTTTTTTTTTACTGTCAGAAAGGGCCCCCACTACCGCAATACAAGAGATGCAGCTGAGCTGGCAGGGAGGCCGTGCTCTGAATCAGGCATCTGCCACCACGCTGACATCTCTGCAGAAAGAGGGTAGATGAAGGGCCAGCCGTGTCCTCCAGGCTTCAGATGCTGGAATAGCTCTGAATGTAGAGATACAGTGGATCATCTGGAAAGGGTCCTCCCAGGACCATGTCACCATACCAAAGGCATCTAGGAAGGGCGGAGTCACCTGGGGGCCTGTGAGCTCCAGGACACCCGGCTCAGGCCTGGCAAGCAGTGTCCAGAGCTGGAATCGGAACAACCAGTAATCCCAACAGTGGTGGAGTTCTAGGGGAGCTCAAGATAGGGAGAAGCTGGAGCCCCTCCTTGTTCAGGGCTTACTGTGAGAGTTGAGTGAAGGTTCAGGAATATCCGAGGGGCTTCTCCTCTCCCACATTCCTCAAAGGACACAGACACATGGTCCTTTTGTTCCATTCATGTTTTGACAGTCCTATGGGAGCCATGCCCAAATCCTGCTCTCTGTGCCATGGTCTCTCCCCTCCATTTCCCGCGCCAGGGCCACAGCCTGTCCTGTCATACCCCGGCTGCCTTACCTCCAGGGCCCCCAGCTGTACACCCTGATCTCAGGCCTGTCCTCCTGAGTCCTCCTGTCCTCCCTTCCTCCCCCATTTCCTCCCTCTCTCTCCTCCCTCCAGGGGCTGGTTCTACTGCCAGGTCACACCTACCTTCACCTTTTGAACTCACCAGTCCCCTTCCTGCATCCTCCCAGCCCCACACCCTGTTTCCTCTCCACCTCCTGGCCTCTCCCCATCAACCTTAGCCCGGCTCCAGTGGGGGTTGGTGCCACCTAGAGACGGAACAAGTGGGCAGAACCTGTGAGGTGGTACCATGCAGTGTGGCTGGACAGTCCTGGTCTCCATTTCCTGGCTTTGTGGGTCCAGGCACACACTATCTGCACTGCTGTGGATTAAATGAGCTCCTATGTATAAAGCACAGGGTGACCCCTGCTAGCACCCAACCAGAGCTGGCAGGTAGAGGACTGGAAGGCCAGTACCTTAACATGGAATTTAGAAGTCAAGTGTCACTCCCATGTTTGCTGAGTGACTATTGCAGGTGCAGGTTCTTGCTCCCATGGGCTCTCTGCCCAAGGGCGGGCAGCTGTCTGCACCCTGGCACCAGGTGGAGCTGCCCACGGACAGTGACCTCCCTGGTTCTAGTGAGGCTGCCTCTCTCACTGTCTCAGATTTGCCCCTGGGAGCCAACAGTGGGTCTGAGTCCAGAAATAGGGTCCCGCACTATGGGGAGGAGGGAGAAGCAGTGGGGAGGTTCTCAAAGCAGGGTCTGATGACCACAGACAGCAGCATCTCTAGGGAGTTCTTACAAAGCAGATTCCTGGGTCTCAGAATGACTGAGTTAGAATCTCTTGGGGTGCAGCCTAGGGATCTGCATGCTTACAGTGCTCCTGGGTGATCTCTGATGTATGCTGGAAGATCAGCCCCTCTGCAGTGGGACAGATCACCAGGGAACTTCACTTAGAGGGCACGCAGCTCTCAGAAGGCTATTGATGCGCTGAGCTTGGTTGTATTCACACCAGAAAAGAAACTCTTACTGTTTACAAAAGCTGGGAATTTCCCCTCTGGGTACAGACCACACCCATCTCCTGTCCTTGGAGCTAAAAACTGCCCTGCAATCCAGAGGCCCCAGCCTGGCCCAGCTTTCCCACGCCAGGATGAACCAGGGAGGAGCCTAAGAGGACAGATGGGAGGGAGCTGCTTTTCATCTGCATCCACTGAGTGGGGGTTGACCTCCTCTTGACAACCTCAGAAGCAAGGCATTCATTTCCCCCAGGAGACAAGAGAAACTGGGCTAGGGCAGCTACGGGGTAGTGAGGCAGGACTGGAACCCACATCTATGGGACTTCAGAGACCGGGCTCTTTCTGAAGGTCCTGGGCTCGAGGATGGGGAGGTCTGTGCTCTCTTCCCCCAAACCAGATGAGGGGCGATTCTTCTCACCTCATGAGCATCACCTCAGCTCTAATTCTGGCCCCCTTTATACCTCTCCACGTGATGTTTTCTCAGGTGGCATGGGTCCCCAGAAGCCTGTCACAGGGAGCAGTTTCCTTGGGGTTTTTTCCTTGGGATCAATTTTGGGAGAATCAGTGGTTGGTTATGTTAAATTATAATTTTTTAAAGAGAGTATAATCATAATTTGCATTCATATATAAAGTGAATACCTGCCAAACATTGTATTTAATTAATGAGAGGACCATTAAGATGTTACCACTGGTTCATGGGAGAATTCAAAGTACCTGACATATAGGGCTGAATGGTAAAATGAATTTACAAATAGATGCAAAACTAGCTGAATTCATTTTCATGCTTATGGGCAAAAATCATTTGCATTGCTATCGGTTACCTACAATTTACAGAGTTGCATAGTAGTTTAAGGACAATAAAAGTCCCCAAGATGATAAAATCCTGACCACGCAGATAATTCAGAAGACTGGCTTAGACAGTGCCTTGTTTTTCATTGAAGACACGAGTGGTTTTTTGTTTTGTTTTGTTTTGTTTTGTTTTAATTCATTTCAGAGTCTGTCAGTTACCAGAAGTAGGCAACAAATGTGCCTGTGAGCTTTCTGGCAGCCAAGTCAAAGAGGGAACAGCCTCCAGATTCAGTGTCTCTAAGGACAGATATGGGGTACTTTTTCACCGAACTTTCAGCTTCTCATTGCATTGAGACCAGGTTCTTCTTCCAGGAGGGGGCCTCGTAAAGGGGACCCAGTGAGCTGGAAAGCAGTGTCCCCAAAGATAGTTCTAGTACAAATGCAGTAGCCATGCTGGCGTAGCTGCTTCCAAAGGCCAGGACAGTGGCCCCCAAAGTGTGGTCCCAGGCCAGTAGCATCAACCTCACCTGGGAACCTGTTAGAAATGCAAATTCCCAGGTTCTACCAAGACTCTTGCAGGTGGGGCTCTGCTATCTGTCTATCAATAAGCCTTGTGGATGATTCTGATGCAAGCTGAAATTTGAGAACCATGGGGCAAGGCTTCTCAACCTTGCAATCACTTAGAATTACCTGAAAAGTTTTGACACAATATCTTGCCTGGAACCCATCCAAGACCAGTTAAGACAGGATCGCTGGATGTAGGGCCCAGCTATGTGTGTTTTTAAAGCTCTCCATAAGTTTCTACTGTGCAGCCAGGATGAGGCCCACTGCCACTGTCATTTAATGCAAGCTGAGGGCAAGAGGTATCTCTGCTCTAGAGAAATCCAGACCTGCACTTGATAGGCTTGTGTATGAGATAATATATCTTCCTTCCTTCCTTCCTTCCTTCCTTCCTTCCTTCCTTCCTTCCTTCCTTCCTTCCTTCCTTCCTTCCTTCCTTCCCTCCGTCTTCCTTCCTCCCTCAACACTGAGCACTTACTCTATAGATGGCAGAATCCAAGGCTCCAAGGATGAAAAGGCAATACCTTATGGGAGCTCTTGGCAGGTGAGGGTGTTGGGAATAATGACAGGGCACTGGGGGGTGGCCCTTCTTTCTTCCAAGAGGTCCACACTCCATCCTTGTCTGATGTTGTTGTTCTCCTTGGCAGGCTGCAAGGGACTGTGGGACAACATGAGCTGCTGGCCCTCGTCTGAGCTGGGACAGACTGTGGAAATGGAATGTCCACAATTCTTCCGGGTGCTCACGGGCAAAAACGGTAACCATCCAGTCCAAAGGGCCCAGCTGAGAGGCTATGGAGTGGCCTCTGAGTGGGGCCTCAGCCTGGACCCATGAGGCCAAAGAATCTTCTCTGGGGACAAGTAATGAATAAAATGATGGGGGTGGGGTCCTCGTTAGGGACCGCAAAACTTGCTTGGGAGGTGTGGGGTGGGCTTTCTTAATTCCAGGCAGGGAAGTGAGGAGGTTGTCTCAGGGGATGCTCAGGGACTAACACTGGCTAAAGGTCTATATGTGCCAGGCATTTAGGAATCACAAAACCCCTGCAAATCACACACCTTTTCTCCCTGCACTTCACTCAGCAAAGAATAACAATAACAGGGACTAAGGTGGGGGGTGGGGGGCAGGTAGCAGTTTGCCTAAGGTTCACAGCTAGGAGATGGAGAAACTAGGATTCTAACCCAGATTTCTCTGACTTCAGAATTGGTGCTCTACTTGAGGCCATGGTCAAGGTGGGCCTACGGTCCCACAGTGTGGGTGTCCCTGGGTAGAGGCTAGTAGTTTCATGGCCTTTAGCGCCTTCACTTAGTGGGCTCATTTAAAGTCTAAAGCCCAGCCTGGTCCTTCGACCCCTCTCCCCTCTTCCATGCAGGGCAGGAAAAGCTGGCCTATGGGGCCCTTACCAAAAATGAACCAAAAATAATTTAGCACTAAAACCTATGGTCTTCCAAAGTCAAGAAACAATGACCGGCATAGACCAAGACTGTGCAGCATGGGAGAGGTGTGTAAATTTTTCCCACCATTATTCTCTAGTACACATGAGTGTGTACACATACACAGATCTGGGGAACATGCTGCTGTAGCTGTTTTCCTCTCAGCCTCACCTGATGCCCCAGAATACAAAAATTGGAGGGGACTAGAGAGTCCGGTTTGAATCCCACCCCTTCATTCACTGCTCAGATAATGCTAGCTGCTGAAACAGACTATTCCCCAAATCTTGAAGCCTACATCCAGCACCTGTCTTCCAAAGAGTCCAAAACAGGTGCTTCTGATGAGCAAGAAGCTCTTTTCTCCATGGTGATTCTGGCATCCAGGCACCTTCCTGCTGTGGTGTCAGCACACAGCTTTCAGACCGGTGAAGGGAAAGGACCCAGGGGATCAGCCAGGGGAGATTTGAAGGACTGGGCCTGAAAGTGATACCACTTCTGCCCGTGTTGCTTCTGCCAGAACTCAGTCATATGGTGACTCCTAAGTGCAAGGGATGTGGGGAAATGGGGTCCTGCTCAGTACTAGTCTCTACCTCTGGGCCCAAGTTCCTCAAATTGTCTCTGGGTTTCAATTTCCTCACCTGTAAAATGGGACAATAAATAATACCAGTCCTTTAAGGCTGGGCTTGGAAATAAATTTTAAATATTTTCCTTTGTTTCTTCTCTCCCTCTCGTACCCTTTCTCATCCTTTCTTTCTACCCCCAAGTACACCCACATGCACACACACACCAACAAACTTATCTACAGTCTTTATCTCCTGGCATGATTCTTCCATGTCTGTCTTTGGGGTCTGTGGAGCTTGGAAAACAGCAAATTAATTCAGGCATGACTGACTTTGAGTAATTTGCTGGTCAAGTGCAAGGCCAGAGCCAGGCCCGGGCCTCGGACTCCCCAGCCAGTGCTCCCCCTGGCTGGCCAAGTTTTCCCGTTGGAAGGACTGGAAGCTCTCCTCTTTTCCAAGCGCTCTCCTCACAGCCTGCTTCAGAGCCACTGCACCTCTGCCTCCCCCCACCACCATCCCCGCTGCTCTTCTGTGAAGAGGTCACATGGAGCTGTGCTCATGGCCACATCCCTCCCCAAACAATTGCTTGAACCCCTGCCTGCCTCATTAACTAGAATCCAGCTGTCTCCTTCTTGTGGTTCCTCAATCCTTTCATTGCTCAAGACCCACTGGGGGTCACCCAGGGGTGCAGTTCCAGGTCTGCATGCTATAGGGGACAAATCTGGGGGTCCTGTGCCAATCTCTGCTGCAGTTTCTTCTTGCTGCCACCTGGTGTCACTGTGGATCCACAGGGCCCTCCTGCATGGCTATACTGAGGCTTTGCCTGCTGAGTGCTAGGCCCAGACCCCCAGTGGGGTGGGAGTAGGGGTAGCCTCACTTTGGGGAGGCTACTCAGCTCAAATCCAGCCCCAGGCTCGAGGCACCAGCCAGTCTGGGAGCACAGGTCAGGATCAGTCCAGCCTCCCACCAGAAGTCATCCTCCCACCGCTGCCTCATTCCACCTGAGGCCTGCACAGATCCCAGCCCCTCTGTGTCCTCTCAGGAGAGAGGGCCTCCCCACCCCAAGGCTCCAGAACACTAGGGAGGAGCACTAGTGTTCTGGAGCCTTCTTTTAGTAAGAAGAAACTAATAATAAATTAATTCTATCTCAGGGCACCCACTACATGAGCCCACACCGGATGGGTGTCCGTGTGACACGGGAAACTGCAGACTGGATTCTGCCTCAGATATTTCTCTGTGTGTGCCAGGGTCTAGAATGTTTCCTCTAGGATGCATTCCTTTGATTGTTAAAGAAACAATAAAACTGGTCTTCCCAAGTTTCTTATTAAAAAATCACACTTCCCAAGTGGTGTCAGGCCTTGGTCCTCTTTCCTTCTGCCTTAGTGGGGATTGGAGCCTTAAAGCAATAGACGTTTCTAACCTGATTAGGGTCCTGGAGCCTCCTGATAATCAGATGAGAGCTTTGGATTGCACATATACATGTGCACATAAACATTCACTGTGCTTTCAGAGGCCCTTGAGCTGTACATTGGCCTGAACCTGGGTAAGGATGCTTACCTCTTAGGTATTAAACATAGGGGAAGTAGGTGGGGTTGAAGGGACTCCCAAGAGAGCTCAGCCCTTATCTCCTCTGCAGCTCTGCTGAGGGCCTGGCCAGCAAAGGGCACTACCTCATTAGTTGCTCTGGACACCTGGCCCGGATCATACACAGCGTCTGTCTTGGGAATCCTGCTGGGTCAGTGAGGAGAGGATCCCAAACAGGCTGCCCACTGGCTGTGGTCACACGGTGTCTGACAACTGGTTCTGGGCTTCACAGAATTTGTATTCTCTTAACTCATCTTCCCATCTAACTGGCCTAAATTTGACCACCATTTTTTCCTGTCTGACAACCTAGCTCCCTTGACCTGGCTTCCACCCATTTCCTAAATTCCAAGACTCCAAGCCCCTCCAATCCTGGTCTATTTTAGAAAGACCCAAAGCAGGAGGGAGTAGCACTGTGGTGCCCATTCTGTGCGTGGCACCAGCCTGGGCAATTTCTATGTGCCATCATGTTTCCTGCTCAGTTATGCAATGAGAGTGATCACTCATTTGACACAGAAAAGTGATGCACCTAAGGTCACGGGGTGACCAAGAGGCAATGCTGGGTTTCAAACTCAGATCTGGCTGGTATTAAAACTATGCTCCAGACCTCATGAACGTTCATAGGCTGGGCAGGCCTAGCACCCAAAAGCCATGGTCTCCTGTTGCTAGAAGCTGCCCCTGGGTCTGTAGGGAGAGGGCCAGGCAGGAAGGCAGTACAGTTATGGAACCTGTCCTAGCTCAGCACTGTTGTCCAATTCCGAGCCTTAGCCTTCTCATCTGTAAAATAGGCCTGCAGCACACCCCTCACTGGGGCCCTATGAAGATTAGATTAGAATCTACACGTTAGCATAATGTTTGGTTCTAGAAATGACAGCCATATTTCTCTAGCTCCATGGAAGCCCTAAAAACTGTGAGCCAATGACCCAGACCCTGGGGCTCGTCAAGAAGAGCATGCCAGGCCAGCTGGGGTGGTGAAGAAGCCCCTGGAGAGGGTGCAGAGTAGAGCAAAAGCAGTGGCAGGGCTACTATCAGCTCCCGGCATCCCTGCAACACCCAGAGCAGCCAGACCCAAGACCAGAACTCAGCTCTGCTTGGCTGCCCGGAGTAGCGGATACAGCTGAGTCAGTCATTCCCACAAGGGAAATGCTTCCTTGTGGCTCCCCAAGACTTCCTTCCTGGCTGGCAATGCCCCCTTTCCAGTCTTCGGACTCCTGCCCTACAAGCTCCCCATGAGCAAGCTCTCCCTTCTTCTCCCTAGAGATCTTAGAACAGGCTCTTTATCCCCATTCATTTGCTTCTCTAGAAATGTTTGGTGAGCAAGTGCTCTGGGCAGGCCCCGGGGGGCCCTCAGAAACTCATCTGCTGGGAAGACAGGGAAGCCCATGCCACCCTTTGTGAGGGCACAGGACATAGCCTGTGCTGGAGGTGTGGGGCAGAGAACGCCAAAAAGGCAACAAAGGCACATCAGCCTGAGGGGGTGGAGGGGAAGTCCCTCCTTGGGCATTGAGGGACGTTGGAGCTGAGTTTGGGGCCTGCGAAGGGAAGGGCATAGGTGTGGGGTGTAATTGGATAGGGGCCTAAGAGAGCCCTGGAGCAGGGCTGGGCCCCAGGAAGTAGCAAGGTGGGGTAGGGAACAGCTACACTGGAAGTTCTGCTGTGGCCTGGCCATTGGGGGCCTGGGGTCTGGCTGGGATGATTGAGTACTGCGGCATGAGTGAGTCAGCCTCACTCGTCTATGGAGCCCTGGTGTGTGGCACAGTAGGGTGTGAGGTGTGGGTGAGGTGGTGGGAGGAAGACAGGCTGTGACTGGAGGCTGTGAGGGAGCGTTTGTTCAGGGACAGCCTTGTTTGTAAATTGATGTGTTAAGGATCAGCAGGTCTGTCTGTGTGTCTTTCTGTCTGTCTGTCTGTCTCTCTCTCTCTCTCTCTCTCTCTCTCACACACACACACACATACACATCCTAGGTCTTTGCCCCTCCTAAGCCCATCTGCCTACTTGCCTTTCCTACTGCTTTTCCTGACTGACTGATTGACTTACCTATTCTTTAAGGATTAATTATTGAGCCAATTGGGAGCTGACTATGTGGTTCAGAGAAAGGCAGCTGGGGACAAAGTGACAGATGGAAGCTCCAGGATGCCCCTGATGCACTGTTGAAGGCACCCAAAAGGCCCAGTCATCTGTCCCTGGTCCCCATCACTCACACAGAGCACACTTGGCACCCACAGGTTACATGTTCCGAAACTGCACACAGGGCGGCTGGTCAGAAACCTTCCCCAGGCCTGACCTGGCCTGTGGTGTTAATGTGAACGATTTGTCCAACGAGACCAACCAGAAGCGGGTAAGACTGACTTCCTTCTTCCCTGGGAGTGTGGGGGAGTGGGGGAGGGGACGGGGAGGAGGGTCCTGCAGAGCTAAAGGTCCCTGGCTGAGGATAGAGTCAGAGCAGGGCCAAGGACAGGTGAGCTGAGGGCTGCCCCTCCCACCCACTTTTCTCCTTCTTATCACCTGGGGTCCAGTGGACCTGCTTCACCGCCCTGGCCTATCAACCCAAAGATGGTGGTCATGAAGACCATGGCACAGAGTGGACTGCCATATGCCACAGTGATACTGGGGGTGATTTAATCATGAAAACAAAAGAGAAATGATGTGGTGGCTAAGTGCTCAGAGCCAGGCGGGTGGGTCTCAGCACTGACCTGTGACCTTGCTCGGGGTAGAGAGGACTTCACTTCTCTGTGCCTCAGTTTATTCATCAGGGAAATGGGGTTAATAATAGTTCAGACCTCACAGGCTTGCCAAGAGAACTAAATGAGTTAATCCATAGAAGTGTTGAGAACGGTGCCTGGTGAAAGTCAGCGCTCAATCAATGTTTGGACTCAATCAAAGGAGAGAGCCCAGCCAACCACAGGGCAATCCTGGTTTGAGGGAGGACACTGTGAGCCATTGGATGAACTTCTTCAGGTGCCTCTGAAGTGGCTATCAGTTTCAGAGAACCCTTCCCTCGTCACTTTTTCTAATTGACGCGTATGCATCCTTCAAAATTTCACTCCAGCCCATCAACTCCAGAAACCCCTTTCTTCCTGTCCTCCCAGAAAGGGCTCCAGCTATTACCTCCATGTTATATGAAATCATCAGCTTATGCCATGTGCGTTGATCTCTCTCACTAAAATATGAACTTTTCAGAGGCATCCATTCACTCAACAAACATTTATTGAGCATCTGCTGTGGGCAAAGCAGGGGTCTAAGCATGTAGATACAGCAGTGACAAGTCAAAAAGGACCATTTCCAGGCCCCCATTGCCCAGTACAATGCCTGGCACCTATAAGATGCCCAACAAAAGTCCATTGTTGGACTGAATATCTACAGTACCACATTCCAGCTGCTTAATACACAATGGCATTCAATCCTCAAAAGCATTCAGTGTAAGTCTATTATTTTCTTCATTTTGCAGATGAGGAAACTGAGGCTCAAAGGGGTTAAGGAAAATGCTTAGAAAGTAATGGAAGCAAATCTGGAAGAGCATTCTGCACCCCTATGTTCTTTGCAGCATTGCTAATAATATCCAAGACATGGAAACAACTTAAGTGTCCATCTATAGATGAATGGATAAAGAAATTGTGGCACAAATATACAATGGAATGTCACTGAGCCACAAAAAGAAGAAAATCCTGCCATGTGCAACAACATGGATGGACCTTGAGGACATTATGCTAAGTGAAATAAATAAGACAGATAAAGACAGATACTGTGTGATCCCTCTTATATGTAGAATCAAAAAAAAAAAAAAAAGCCAAAACCAACAAACCCTAAAACCAAACTCATAGCAAAAGAGATCAGATTAGTGGTTACCAGAGGTGGGAATGGGATAGGAAGAATTGGATGAAGGTGGTCAAAAGGTACAAAATTTCAATTACAAGATAAATAAGTACTAAGGATATAATGTACAATGTGATGATAATAGTTAACACTACTGTGTGGTATATATAAAAGTTACTAAAAGAGTAAATCCTAGGAGTTCTCCTCACAAGAAAAAAACCCATTTCTCTCTCTCTCTCTTTTTTTGTATCTATGTAAAATGATAGATGTTAACTAAATTTATTCTGGTATAATTTCACAATATATGTAAGTCAAGTCATGACGCTGTATACCTTAAACTTATATATTGACACATGTCAATGATATCTCAATAAAACTGGGAAAGAATGTTGAGGGGGAAAAAAAGAAAGTCATGGAGGCAGAATTCAAACCAAGTGTTAACTCCAAAAGGAGCCAGTGCTCCCCCTCTAACTCCTGTCGCTGTCTCACAGAGATATGTGCCCCCTGGGAGGTGCACTTTTAGCTGTCCCATGAGCTAACCTCCCCAGTTACGATGGACAAGCTTGCATCTCCCCTGGAGAGTGGGATGGGGTCATGTAGAAGCATGAAGGGGGGAGTAGCAGAATTAAGGAGAGAGAATGTAGCTGAGAGGCAGACCACACCCCTTCTGAATTTTTTCTAAGACTCCTCTGTAGCCAATCAGTCTTGCTCTATATGAAGGTGTTTGATTAGGGGATCAATATGGAGAATGGAGTTTCTTTCCTTCCAGGTCTTGTCATCCGGTTGGAGAAACACACATGAATGAGGTCTTCAGATCTGGTCTGAGTGAGTTAGTTTAATCACGAGACTCAACAAGAATTGATCAGTGGGTACATACGGTGTTGGTGGTGTGGTGGGTGGGTTCTGACCTTTGCTATCATCAACTCATATGAAGACAGGGGCTTATGGATGTCACATTCATAAAATCCATAAAATTAAGAGCAGACATTCTTATGATGGGTGGCAGGCTCGAGGTTCAAAAGAATGCTTTGAGCTGCAAATAACAGAAATTTCCAACTGGCTTAATAAGCAAATTTGGGTCATAGACCTGAGGGTGCAGAGAACAGTGTCAGGGCTGCTTGGTGAGGCGATCCTGCAAAGCTGCCAAGGACCAGGTCCTTTCCACCTCTCCTCCTGCTATCCTGGCACTTCTTTCCAAAGCTGGCACCTCTCTCACTGTAAGATGACTCCGTTGTTGACTACCATGCCTGCTTGTCGGGGAGGACGGAAAGCCTGACTTCCTACAGCCCCTTCCTAGAGCAAGTAAGCTTTTTTACCCAAACTCCCAGCAAGGCTGTCCAAACATCTCATTGGTCCAAAGTGACTTGAACCTTCCCACCACTGACCATCCCTGGAAGAGGGGTGGGGTACATGATTGGCTTATGCCAGCAGTTCTCTAAGTTTTTAGCTTTAGGGCCTTTTTTTTTTCCCCAAGCAGACTTATTTTTGTTGTCTTTTGATTTCAATTCTAAACCAAAAGAAAGGAATTTTTAGTTTGATGGCTAGAACCCTAATGGAATTCCCCACCCCCAACAAAGAGATGGATAAGGAAATATTAGATAGAAACTCTTATCATAAAATTTCCAGAGCATAACATTAAAGCTCACTGGTGATTAAGGATTTCTATGGTTAGTCACTGGTAAGAAAATTTACTTTCTGCACAATACAGCTGGATTCAGCTTTATTTACTGATGAATTTAGTTTTAACTTGCTTCCTCCTCTCTGATTTTGATTTCTTCCTTTTTATCTTATTTTTTAAGATTTTTAAAATTGCTATTCTATTCCAGTTGTCCCAATTTCCCCCCTTTGCCCTCCTCTGCCATTCCCACCCCTATCCTTTTACATTTTTAAGAATTATTGAGGACCCCAAAGAGATTTTGTTTTTGTGAGTAATGTCTACTGAAACCACACATGAGAACTTTTGGCTTAATCAACTGAGAAAGAATGAGCCCAGGGCCCTAACCTTGATATTTATGACAAGGTTGAAACTGTGAAATCCCTACACAAGGAGCTAAAATTAACTAAGATAAATACAAAATTTGAACTTACCTAAGAAAATTATTGTCCAAAAAATAGTGGAGAGGGAACCTACCTTGGCTTCAGCTCACATAAAAAAATGTAAAGTCCCTAAAATTGGAAGGGTTTCAGACGATGTGATTCACACTGGTCCCTAAATGCTGGTCCACAAATTGGCACAAATGTTGTCTTTTATTCTGAGATTTGAATTATCCTATTCATTATTGTTGTATTATTTTTTCTTTTAATCAAACGATGGCGAAAGTCTGAATTAGTTGGTTTTCCTTCAGCTTCCTAATTTAGCACACGTATCTCTTATTGACAAATATTAATGACAAAATAGACTCAGGTTGGCAGAAAGACTGTATCAGAGGTTAGCAAACTATAGCCCTTGGGCCATATCTGGCCTACCACCTGCTTTTGCAGATAAAGTTTTATTGAAACACAGCCACTCCCATTTCCACTACAAGGGCAGAATTAAAAGAGATCTTATGGCACCCAGAGCCTATGATACTTACTATCTGTCCCTTTTTCTGATGACAACAATCTAGAGGTGGCCTTGTCAGGATACGAAGCAGAGAGCTAGGTAACTTGACCCATGACAGACAGCAGTGAGGCTTGGGGACCCCGAGTCCCCTGGGGGTCACTGCACATTGTAATCATGAAGAGCAGGGGCACTGAGGTTCCATCAGGCCTCCAGGAAACAGGGCTCTTTCTGGGTCAGACCTTAAAGACACAGAGCAGGACCAGGTCTGCCTGGAAGCTGGCCCATGTGTCCTGGGGATCAGATGGCAGACAATGACCCCAACCACAGGAGAGTACAGAATACTACGCCTAAACTCCGTACTGTTGCCTGTGCCTCCTCATGCTGCCATAGGCTGGCTCAAACTGCCCCTGAACTGAGAGCTGCAAAACCAGGTGTCCCTGGGAGTGAGGCCAACACCCACAGCTATGGGGCTCCTGTTGGTCCTCTGATATTTTGACATTTCACTGCTCTTTGATGTCCCAAAGTCTAGGAACTATTAATCTGATGCAACCTACTGTCCTTTTGTCTCTCCACCTTGTTTCCTGTAAGGTGGCTCCTTGCTCCTGGGATTCTAGTCACATCAGTTGGGAAGATAAATGTCACAAAGCAGCCTATCCTGTCAAAGATCACCTCTTGCTGTCAGAAAATTTTTGGTCAGTTTGAGTCAAGTCTATTTTCTGGTACCTTCTTTTCCCCATTGGAGCTCACACACTAGGTCTAAACTCTACTTCCATATGTCAATTGGCCTTAGGAATACTTTTCGACCCTAAGTTTGTTTTTTCCTCTGGGTATAATGTACACAGTTTATTCTTCCACTCTTAAGATGACATGATCAGCCTTCTCCAGAAATGTTCCAGTTATTTAATGCGCCTCTTAAAATAACATGCCCAGAACTGGACCAAATACTCCAAATGTCTCAAAGTGGCCAGTTACCCCACAGTGCTCCACTATGTAACTGAGAGAAGGCTTAGTCTTTTCTAGCAGCTACCTCATATCTCATACTTCATACCATCATCTTACACAATAGTTTCACACCACTGACTCATGTTCAAGGGTGGGTGATGGGGGTGAAAGGTGGAGGTGGGGAAAAATCATGTGCACTGTGTGTCTTCAAAGTGCTAGCCATTGTCTAGATACTGTTCCTGATACCTTATTTGTTCTTTCAATAAGCCTGCTAGGTAGATACTATCCCCATTTTGCAGATGGTGAATCTGAGGCTCAGAGAAGTTAAATAATTTTCCCAAGGTCACACAACTGGTGAGTAACAGTCATGGATTTGGAACCTGTGTCTCTTGGCTCTGATGCCTGTATTCTTTTTGTGGAGTACACTTCCTTAACACTATGAAGTGTTGGCCATTCTGACCTCAAAGTCATTTTCATATGAAGAGCTGTCACCCAGTCTGGTTTCCCCACCAGTATTACTCCTGTGCCCATTTTCTTTTTAAATTAATTACCCTTTTCTTCTGGTTACAAAGTAGTACTTACCCACTGTAGAAAAATGAAAAGTGTAGGAAATACAAGTGAACATAACAATGCTATCCACAAACTTATCATCCAAAGTTAATCAGTATTAACATCTAACACATCTCCTTACAGTCTTGTTTCTATGCATGTATGAGATTGAACTACATGAGATGGCCCATATATAATCATTTTTGATCTACAAAAAGGGGCACTTTCATATATTTCAAAAAAACACTCGTTTTTTACAGGTACTATAGTGAGAATCATAGTTTACATGTAAAATTTGTGTTCTGCCTTTTACTTAACATTACATTCTTAGCATTTCCTGACATTCTTTCAAATTCTTGGAAACAGTATTTTAATGTGCCCTAACATTAAAATCATTTGGATTTAAAATAATTTGTTAACTGTTCTTCTGTTGTTGGACATATGAGTGTTTTTCATCACAAATAGTTCTGTGATAAACATCTTTATATGTAAAGATACTTTTATATTTTTGATTAATTCCTAAAGGTAGAAGAGGGGGTCAAAAGGACTGCTTATTGCAAAAGTTCTTACTTTCTGGAGAGACTGAACCAATTTTCATTTCACTATGCCCTCATTGGAATAGAATATTAGCTTCAAATATTTGTTAATTTGCTTGGTTAAAAAAATGGCATAGCATTATTGTTTTAATTTTCATTTCCTTGATTTTTTTAAGACTGTTGTCCAATTTACTTTTTGAACCTAAATCCAGGTCTTTACATTTCTCTCTCTATGTCAAACTATTGTATTCCATTGAGATCTTCTTGAATCAAAGATGAACCAAGAGTATGAAGTGGCTGCTTGGCTGCATTCATAGGAGTGCAGTGTGTAGATCAAGGGAGGTGATGGTCCCCCTCTACTTCTCCCTGGTTAGAAGATTCATCTGGAGCTGCTCAGCTATCCAGTTCTGAGTGTTTTATTTAAGAAGGACATTGACAAATAGAAGAACATTAATTGAGCAAAATGGTGAAGGATTATAGAAGGAGAGTAAAGACACAGGGAACTTTTATGCTGAGAAGATAAGAGACAGATTGGAGACAGGCTACATTAAAAATGACAGGCCTCTCTGTTATATCTTCATAACTTTTTGGTACATCTAAAACTATTCCAAAATGAAAAATTTATTTTTAAAAAATAAAGACAGACCTTAGTTACAAGACTAATTCAGTTTATTTTAAGTAGCTCCAGAAACAGAAAGAACCAATTAGTGCAATTTATAAGGTAATAGATTTTAGCATCACGTCTAATCTAAAAAAATATCTAGTATTTTCACTGCTGTACACTGAATGATTTCCTCGAAAGACAATGAGCACCTCATCCCTGGAGGTATTCAAGCAAAACATTTAAATTCAGGGTGATGTGAGAGGGACATAAGTTTGAGTTGGCATCAGATGATCCCCAAGATCTTATCCAAACCCAAGAAGTTATGATTCTATGAACTGGTGTCCTTGGGACGTGAACAGCATAGCAGTCTGAGTTGAAGGGGTTCAAGCAGGCTGGAAAGCAGGTCCTCTCTGAGGAAGAAAAGTAGAGAGCCAGCCAGGCAGGCAGGTGGGAATGACACATGCTTCTCTCTGCAGCACCAGTACCTGCTGAAGCTGAAGGTCGTGTATACCGTGGGCTATAGCTCTTCCCTGGTGATGCTCCTGGTTGCCCTCAGCATCCTCTGTTCTTTCCGGTGAGAACATGCTGCCAGCTCTCACTCTCCCCAGCCTTTTCTGGATGCAGACTTTGCATCTTTTTTAACTGATTAGGCCAAAGAGGGAAGGTCTGGGTGGGCTACTCTGTCACCTCTTGATCTAAAGCTTATCTGTAGCAGAAGTTCCTGTGACTGAACTTTCTGTGAAGTTTCTGTGGCCTTGTTCATTCATTTATTCATTCACATTACTGAGCATTACTAAGGACTTACTGCACCAGTTGCTTTACAGGTTATTTCTAATTTTTTCAAGACGCCATAAAATAGGTATCATTACTCCAATATTACAGGTGAAATAACCAGACTCTTTGTTGCAAGAAACAGAAAGCCACTGTAAAACAGCTTAGGAAAAAAAAAAGTGACCAGACCCGCAGAATTGACAAGTTCAGGGACATCAGACTTTAGGCATGTCTGAAACTAGGTGCCTATATGTATCAGCAGAACTAGGTTTATGTCCCTCCATTTTTCAGTTTACATTGACCTCATCCTCAGATAGGCTTTCTGCAGGGGAGGCAGAGATGACTGCCAGCAACTGCACGGGTAGGTTCTACCAGTTTTGCAACACCAGGGGAAAGAAGGCCTATTCCCTATTATTTGCAATGAAAGTCCTGGGGGAATTCTCGCAGGCCCAGCTTAGGTCACATGCCCCACCCTGGGCCCGTCACTGTGGCCAGGGCTAGGGAGCTCAGGTCTGTCATGAGGGTGGGAGGGTGGAATCAAACCCACCCAGAGCCAGAATGGGTTCCCCCATAAGAAAACCTGGTTCTGGTGCCTGAAGAACAGAGACAAGTTACAGACTTCCGTCCCCTACAGCAGAGCACGAAACCCAGACTCTAGGAAGTGAAAAGGCTTGAGGTCATATATCTCAGAAGCGGCAGTCTGGGTGTGATTTCTACTGAAGCCTGTGTTTTTTCTGTGCTGCTTGCCTCCTTCCATTTTGGATGCCTGCCTCTGGAACCCCCACCCCTTCTAAACAACTCTGGGAGCTGGAAATGGTAGGTCAGGGAAGAATATAACTTTGCCCTATGACCCCAGCTTTTTTTCCTTTTTTAATTATAGTATGAGACAGAGTAGACTGGGCACCTGGAAGCCTGGGTTCTCATTTAGGTTATGCTAAAAGAGATACAGAGAAATGGAGAAATGTGTCACCTGAAAGAGCCAGTGTCCAGGGCCTGGGTTTCCACTTTGCCCTGGGGGGAATGGTGGGCCTGGCTGTGCTCTAGCCCCTCACAGCTATGGCCCTGCTCTCTCTCTCCAGGAGGCTCCACTGCACCCGCAACTACATCCACATGCACCTGTTTGTGTCCTTCATCCTGCGTGCCCTGTCCATCTTCATCAAAGATGCTGTGCTCTTCTCAGATGATGGTGTCCACTGCGATACCCACAGGGTAACATGCCTCTGTGCCCCAGGGTGTGGCTAGTCCTGCCTGCCTTCCCCAGCCTAACTTTGGAGAGGGTGGTAGCCTAGTGTCCTTCCCAAGAGTCCCTGCTAGGGCTACATTTAATGTTTAGGGTAAAGAGGCCAGCCCTGGGAGTGGGCCAGGAACTTCAGCAAGAGTTCCATATCCCCACATGCACAGTCTGGATAATATATGAGATCAGCTTGTTGGGAAGCCAGTCGGGGGCTGCCACTTGACTGCCAGTGTCCAGGAGTGGATTCACCACTCTGAGATTTATATTTATAGCAAGGATCCTCTTTTGCTTACTTCTGCCAAGTCCCAGCTGTAGATAGGTGGCCAAGCCTAGAGAGGGATGGGTTGGTTTAGAGAAAAGAATGAATATACACCGGTATGTCTGCACATACAGACCTGCAGTAAAACAATCATGTTTTGTTAAACCTAACCCTGTTTCTCATTCTGAATGCTCACGTGAGTCTTACGTCCTTGCAGTGTCACTTTTTGTCAGTTGGGAGCCCCTCTTGGTGCGCGTAACAGAAAATTGTACATCAGTGGCTTAAACAGATGGGGGTCATTTTATACACAAACAGTCCATAGGTGGAAAATCCAGAGATAGCACAGAGGCGCCATGATGCCATGAAGGGCATAGGCATTTTCCCTCTTTCTGCTTTGCCATTCTTGATCCTATGCTTTATACCACATGTTTGCAATATAGCTCCTATAATTCCAGGCCCTACATCCATATTCCAGGAAAGGAGTTAAGTTTGCTTTGGGAGAGTTTGATTTTTCATTTGGGAAAGAACACACCAGGGATCAGAATCTCTGGGAGGCTACAGGATGGGAACCTCAGATGGCCAGCAGGGCAGCAGTGGGGACTCCTTTGTGGACGTGGCCTTGTATTAGCCCATGTGGCAGCCCTCAGGCCACCCCAGGAGCTGTCCTCTCCTCAGGTGACATTTAGTGAGACAAAAGGGGACACTCACAGGGTGAGTATAGGAGCCATGCTGGCATAGAAGCCCCACAATCCCACAGACATAGCTTCCTGGGAACCATGCAAGAGACATGCTTGTTTTAAGTCACTGCATCCTCATCAGGTTTTTAGAGGTCTCCAGTCCAGATGCAGTGTCCCAGTCAGGAGACATTTTTACTAAAATATAATCAATGTTGCCTCCTAACGTAGTTGGTATGTCCATTCTTCATCTGTTTCCAGGGAAACTGAACTTGGAAAGGATTTTAACCATTTCCTTGGATACGCCTTTTCCTCTCTAGACCTCAGCTGCCTCATCTGAAAAATGAAGGATTTAGGAGTTGGGCAATATCTGACACAATTTTATAGTTGATAGCCAATTCCAGCATTTGAATGCAGTTCCTGCTTCTGCAAGGCCATCTTGACTGAGCCTGCTGGACTTCCCCTCTCGGGAGAACTCTGTGGGCCTAGTCTTCTGATAGTGGAAGGCCTCAGGGTATGGCCATGAACTCCAGAGGCTCACTCTGTGGCCTGGCTCCTGACCCCTACTATACTGTGTCACTTTATTTGAGGCTGGCCACCAGAGGGAAGCCCACAGTCACCCATTCTGGGACTCACATGTCTCTCTTTGTCCAGGTGGGCTGTAAGCTGGTCATGGTCTTCTTCCAGTACTGCATCATGGCCAACTATGCCTGGCTGCTGGTGGAAGGCCTCTACCTCCACACGCTGCTCGTCATCTCCTTCTTCTCAGAAAGGAAGTGCCTCCAGAGATGTGTTGCCCTTGGATGGGGTATGTTTCTCAATGTAAATAGTAGCCAAGTGGCATAGAAAGGGCACTAACTCAGAAGAATTTGGTTTCTAGTTCCAGCTCCACATTTAAAGTGAGTTAACTTGTATAATCTTAGATAAGTTACTTGCTGTGTAACCATCAGGCCTCAGTTTATTTATCTGTCAAATGGGAAATAATAGCTAAAATTTAGCCCCAATTTCCAGCATCCAAAGCCTTTTACAATTTGATATCACCCAATACTTGTTGCCTCATCTTCATCAGACATTCCATTTATATGTCATCATTTTTGCTTCCTTTTAGTGTCGGTTAGGGTGATTTTGACTGTAGCCATCATAAAATCTAGCTTATATAGGCCTTAAACATAAAATAAATTAATTGGCTTATATAACCAAAAGGCCCAGAGATCACTAACTTCAGGCGAGGCTGAATCCAGCAGCTCAACAACATATCTCTCTATCTTTCTCCTTTGCATTCTGCTAGTGCTCCCACTGTAACTGCCAGAAGCTTCTGGGCTACTGGCTTCCTTGTTATACCTAATGAGAGAAAGAGGCTGTGTCCTAACATTCCCAGCAAATATTCTAGGGTTCACTCTGAGTGGACCCACATAAGACTGTTACACACCCTTGAGATAATCACAGAGGTCTGAGGTAATGGAATACACTGATTGACTTAAGCTACTCAAACCACATGGATTTCAAAAGGAAATCAGGATTCAGTTTCTAGGAAAAATGGGACATGGTAGCAAGACAATCAACTACAGGCCCCATTGTATCTTTTTCCTCTTTCCTTTCTGGTCAATGAGAATAATAACAACTCCTGTTTCTTAAGCACTTGCTACATGCCAGACGTTGAGCTCAGCACTTAACATGCATTATTTTATCATCACAATCTTCAAAGTCCTCTCAGAGAAACCCTGGCTCAGAGATGTGACATAATAAGCTCAACTCACACTGTAGACAAGGGCAAACCCAGAATTCAAACCATGGCCTATTTTTAAAGCCCTTGAACTTCTATTAACTTCTCTTCTGCCATTAACAAACACCCATCCACCCATTCGTTCATCCTTCTATTCACCCATCTATCTATCTATCCATTCGTCCATCCATTTATCAATTGTCCATTTCATAAACATATGTAAGTTACCTACCAGGTTCTGGACAGAGAGGCAGGCTTCTAGGGGTGACTCACAGGCTTGCAAGGATAGTCATGTGTACCGGCCACTAGTCTCAGTTTTTTTCCTCTCGATGCACTTAATTAAGAAACGCCCCTGCCAGGAATGCACTACGCTTCTTTTCTGCTCATCTAAATCCTACATGTAAGGGCCCTGCCTCCTCATCAGACCATCCAGGAAGTCACCTGAGCAGACAAAGCTTGCTGAGCCCTGATTAACAATGACCTTTGGCCAGCAGGAGTTGTAAGGCTCTGCAGATCTCTGAATACTCACAGAGGCCAGTAGTCCCAGAGTGCCAGGGGGCCCAGGACTTGCCATGTGCACCTGACTCTGCCAGCTTGGAGCTCAACACATTGAGCACTGACTCCAGATCTGCCAGTTTCACTGTATGTACATGGACAGTTTTATAATCTATAATATCAGCATCATAATTTATTGAACTTTCTTCAAGCACTCCTTTGTGTTCAGAAGGGCTTATAAGAATTACAAAAACAAAAACAAAACCAGTTCATCATTCGAAGGGTTTGTCATCTAGAAAGAAGACAAAATTGTATTGTGATATCTCTCACAGGTTTCTAGGAGGTTTAAATAAGATAACGAGAGCCTCCCTGTCTTTCTTGGATATTTAGTGAGCATCTACTATTTGCCAGGCTTAAGGGATAGAGCAGCATATAAAACACAAGAGGCTGTTCTCTCCAGGCCTCTCAGCCTACACAACACCAAGGGGACCATGAGAGGGCCAAGGAACATCTCAAGTTCTCACCAGTGATATGCCTTTCTCTTGCAAAAGCAGTGGCCCCTCCTCAATTTGTACTCAATTTGTTTCTTCAGAGATATGTTGTTTAACTATTGTGCTCAATGTCAAACTTTGCAAAAAAAAAAAAAAAATTTAAGTAGGAAAAAAATTAACCTAGTCCCATCTAGTGAACATATTCTGGAGTTTTCTATTTTTTTAAATGTTACATTATAAAATATTTATTTTCTTTTTTTATTGTATTTTTTCCCCACCACCATTTATCCACCTTATACTTCCTCCCCACTGCAATCACCACACTGTTGTCCATGTTCATGACACCTTTTTCCTTTTTGTTTGGTTTCCCTACCCTCCAAACTCATAGCTGTCAGCCTGCTCTTTATCTATGAGTCTGTCTATATTTTGCTTGTTAGTTCAGTTTGTTCATTAGATTCCACAAATGAATGAAATTATATGGTATTTGTCTTTCTCTGATTGGCTTATTTCACTTAGCATAATATTCCCCAGTTCCATCCATGATGTCACAAAGGGTAAAATTTTCTTCTTTTTTATGGCCGAGTAGTATTCCATTGTGTAAATGTCCCAAAGTTGTTTTATCCACTCATCTATTGATGGACACTGGGGCTGCTTCCATATCTTGGTGATTGTAAATAACATTGCAATGAACATAGGGGTGCTTATGTTCTTCCAAATTGGTGTTTCAGGTTCCTTTGGATATATTGCCAGAAGTGAGGTTGCTAGGTCAAAAGGCAGTTCCATTTTTAATTTTTTGAGATATATCCATACTGCTTTCCACAGTGGCTGCACCGATCTGCAGTCCCACTAACAATGCAAAAGCATTCCCCTTTCTCCACATCCTCGCCAGCACTTGTTGTTTGTTGATTTATTGACGATAGCCATGCTGACAGGTGTGACGTGATCTCATTGTGGTTTTAATTTGCATTTATATGATGATTAGTGACGTTGAGCATGTTTTCATATATCTATTGGCCATGTGTATGTCCTTTTTGGAGAAGTATCTATTCAAATTCTTTGCCTATTTTTTAATTGGATTTTTTGGGGGGTGTTGAGTTTATAAGTTCTTTATAAATTTTGGATATTAATGCCTTACAAGGGGTCTTGGTGAATATTTTCTCCATTCTGCAGGTTGTCTTTTTATTGTGTTGATTGCTTCCTTTGCTGTGCAAAACTTCTTAGTTTGATGTAGTCCCATTTGTTTATTTTTTCCTTTGTTTCCCTGGCCTGAGAAGATACATCTGATAAAACATTGCTACAGGCAAGGTCCAAGATTTTACTGCCTATATTTTCTTCAAGGATTTTTATGGTTTCAGGTCTCACATTTAAGTCTTTGACCCATTTTGAATTTATTTCTGGCATAAGAAGGTGGTCTAGTTTCATTCTTCTGATCCTATCTGTCCAGTTTTCTCAATGCCACTTATTGCATAAACTATCTTCAGTCCATTGTATGTGCTTGCTTCCTTTGTTGAATGTTAATTGATTATAAAGATATGGGTTTTTTTTCTGGGCTCTGCATTCTGTTTTGTTGATCTATGTGTCTTGTTCCCATACCAGTACCATGCTGTTTTGATTACTATGGACTTATAGTATAGTTTCATATCAGATAGTTCGATTCCTCCAACTTTGTTCTTTCTCAGGATCGCTGTTGCTATATAGGGTCTTTTGTGGTTCCATATGTGAAGGTAAATTTCTGAAATATTTGTTCTTGTTCTGTGAAATATGTCATTAGTATTTTGGTAGGAATTGCATTGAATCTATAGATTGCTTTGGGTAGCATGGTCATTTTAATGATATTGATTCTTCCTATCCATGAACACAGTATGTGCTTCCATTTATTTGTATCTTCTTCAATTTCTTTTTTCAGTGTCTTATAATTTTCTGAGAACATGTTGTTTACATCCTTGGTTAGATTATTCCTAGGCTTTTATTCTTTTTGAAGCAATTATAAATAGGATTGATTTCTTAATTTCCCTTTCTAATTGTTCATTATTGGCAGATAAAAATACAATTGATTTTGAATATTAATTTTGTATCATGCTACTTTACTGAATTCATTTATGATTTCCAGTAGTTCCTTGGTGGAATCTTTAGGGTTCTCTCTGTACAGTATCATGTCATATGCAAATAAAAACAGTTTTCCTTCATCCTTTCCAATCTGGATGCCTTTTATTTCTTTTTCTTGTATGGTTGCTATGGCTAGGATTTCCAGTACTTTGTTAAATAAGAGAGGTGAAAGAGAACATCCCTGTCTTGATCCCAGTCTTACAGGGGAACATTTGTAGTTTTTGCCTATTGAGTATGATGCATTTTCATATATGGCCTTTATTATGTTTAGGTATGTTCCCTCCATTCCCATTTTGCAGAGAGTTTTTATCATAATGGGATGATGAATTTTATCAAATTCTTTTTATGCATCTATTAATGCCATCATGTGATTTTTATCCTTTATTTTGTTTATGTAGCATATCACATTTATTGATTTGTGAATGTTGTAGCGACCCTGTGTTCCCAGAGTAAATACTACTTGATTGTAGTGTATGATCTTTTTGATGTACTGCTGTATTCATATTGGTAATATTTTGTTGATTTTAGTATCAATGTTCATCAGGGATACTGGCCTATAACTCTACCTTTTTTTGTAGTGTTTTTATCTGGTTTTGGAATTAGGATAATGTTGGACTCATAAAATGAGCTTGGGAGTTTTTCCTCCTCTTGGATTTTTTGAAATATTGGGTTAGCCTAAAAGTTTGGTTAGTTTGGTTGGTAAAATGGCTCTATTAACACTTAGTTGTCTTTAACTTCAATTGAAACAATTTTGTTAGATTCTATTCTGATAGTTGTCATATCAACATACACTTAAAAAACTTAACAAAACTGATGAATTTTTGTGCAGCCATTTTAACATTAAAGATGGAAGAAGATATACAACATTTTCTGTGTATTATGCTTTATTAGTTCAAAAAAAGGTAAAAACTCAACTGAAACACACAAAAAAAGATTTTGCCGTGTATGGAGAAGGTGGTATAACTGATCAAACATGACAAAAGTGGTTTGCAA